TGAGCACAGGCACTACCTGGGAGAAAAATTTCCTATTTATCCAGCTTTAGTTCTCGTCTAGTTGGATGGTATCCATGTCACATTTCTTTATTTCACTGGGGACAAGGCCTGAACTCAAGAAGGCTGACTTCTTTATTTGGAAACATGACAAAGACGTGCCACAGACGGACCCTAGAGAATGACATAAACCAGCAAAGAAGCATCTGGACTCACACTGGCCAGGGGCTGTGAAACTAGCACATGATTGTGTGTATAACAACTTGTCTTAGGCTTGTGGGGGGTAACTTTTAAAAGAAACAAGCTCACAGTCACCTAAAGATTTTATTTATTTATTACTATTTTTTACAAGTGAGTCATATTCTTGACAATCTTACTATTTTATCCTCTGGCAAAATTGTCCTTATTTCTCAATATTAATATTATTTTGTTCCTCAAAATGTAATGGTGCCTCAAATGGTGGTAACCAGTTTCCAGGCTATGACAAAGTCCTGATGCTCAGCCAGCATAGCTAAATTGATGGACTATGTAGAAGGATTTGTTTTTAAAATGCTTCTAAGAAATGTATATTTTCCAACACTCCAGAGTACAGGCTCTTTTATATTCATTACTGAGCTAAAACAGGATGGATCGCTTCAAATAGTTCATAATCTTACAAAATATATCACTGAATTGATGCTTGACATATATATATATATAAAGCCCAATAAAACTACTGGGAAGGGACCTCTTAACATCTGAATTGAAGAAGGTGGGTGGTGCCTGTGGCTCAAGGAGTAGGGCGCTGGCCCCATATACTGAGGGTGGTGGGTTCAAGCCCAGCCCCGGCCAAAAACTGAATTGAAGCTCAAGGCGCTAAGGCACCAGCCACATACACCAGAGACAGCTGGTTTGAATCCAGCCCAGGTCTGCCAAACAACATGACAACTACAACCAAAAAACAGCCGGACATTGTGGCGGGCACCTGTAGTCCCAGCTACTCGGAAGGCTGAGGCAAGAGAATCACTTACGCCCAGGAGTTGGAAGATGCTGTGAGCTGTGATGCCAGGGCACTCTACCCAGGACGACAGCTTGAATTCCCACATAGAAACTGTTGTAATGTCAGAGAAAGAATTCAGAATATGGATCAACCTGCTCCCCTGGTGTAGTCCTCCAAGATTATAATACAAGTCTCTAGTTTGTCTTTATTAAGCCTCTTCTCTTTCATAAACACTGAACTCAAAATTTGACTCGTACACAATATGGAAATAGCAAACTTTTTTTCTCAAATGTTCAGGGACTTTCCGTCTGGGCCACCTTATCCTCTGGGATTTTCAAGTCCTGGTTAGCACAGAAGCCTACTGTCCACTTTTGTCTTTTTACCCAGTGAGAAAACCAAGAATGCTGCTGACCTTGCCCATTGGATGAAGTCCTCTGTATGTCGATTATTCTCTGGCCTCATGTCAATGATTGACATGTTCCTATGGGGAAAAGTTGTTCATAACCTACTGGCCTACTGCTATGCAGTTCCCTCCACTGTCTGATCTTGGCTTTTCAAGTCTTTACCACCAACAACTCTCCTGAATAATTTTTGGGTCTTCTCTTTTTAGCTTCTCTGGGTAGCAGTGCTGTTCTTCCAAATTTACTCTATTGCAGCCAGAAACAGAAGTCAGCATTAATTAATTAAGGTAGATAATTTTATTTCCATTTTAGTTATTTTTTTCTGAGATACTTTCTTGCCCCCCCCCCATAAAGTGCTATGGCTTCATAGCTCAGAGCAAACTCAAACTCTAGGCTCAAGTGATTTTCTTGCCTCAGCCTCCCAAGTAGCTGGGACAGCAGGTACCCACCACAAGTCCTGACTAGTTTTCAGATGGGATCTCACTCTCCCTCAGGATGGTCTCGAACTCGTGAGCTCAAGTGAGCTACCCACCTTGGCCTCCCAGAGTGCTAGGATTACAGTTGTGAGTCACCATGCCTGGATATTTTAGTTATTTTTGTTCATTTCTTATCTTTGACTTCTTTTCTAAAAACATTATCAAGAAAATTTTTTACTGGGAACAGCATTTGCTGTAACACTACACGTGTGTGCTTCAGCTACTGGGGTCCCCCAGCCCCAGGGCGAGCCAGTGGTGGTGGGAGAGCAAGAGGGGAGGGCGGGAAGAAGGGGGAAGGGAAAGGAGGACTGAGATCTTGGTGGGGCTGGGGGCCTGGGCATTAGTGGGCAGTAGGTGCCTGAGGGCTTTGGTCCTGGGGCTGGAGGTGCCTGAGGCGGAGGGAGAGGATGAGGA